GAAACCCCATCTCTGCTAAAAGTACAAAAAAAAAAATTATCTAGGGATGGTAGCATGTGCCTGTAGTCCACTCAGGAGGCTGAGGCAGGAGAATCCCTTGAATCCAGGAGGTGGAGGTTGCAGTGAGCTGAGATCATGCCACTGCACTCCAGCCTGGCCACAGAATGTGACTCCGCCCAAAAAAAAAAAAAAAAAAAAAAGTGCCTCCAACTCATTCCATTTTGGGAAACCAGTCTGGCAACTCTTCAAATTATTAAACATGGAGTAACCACATAACCCAGCAATTCCACTTGTACACAAATGTGTAGAACAGCATTATTCATAAGAGCCAAAAGGTGAAAAACACCCACATGTCCATCAACAAATGGTTAAACAAACTGTGGTACAGCCATACCATAGAATATTATTTAGTCATATAAAATAATTAAGTATTGATACATGCTACAGACTGTGAAACCATTGTGCTAAAGGAAAAAAGCCCATCACAAAAGACCATATATTATACAGTTCATTCCTAGTAAGTCCAAAATAGGGAACTCTATAAAGACAGAAAGTAGATCAGTGATTGCTTAGAGTTGAGGGCAGAGAGGATGAGGGAATTAGGGTGTGTGATGATAGCTAAAGGGTACAAGGTATCTTTTTGAGGTGATGTTGGACATATCTGTGACTATAGTAGAAACCATTAAATTGTACTTATCAAATGGGTAAATTGTATGGTATATAAACTATATCTCAACACAGCTGTTTTTAAAAAAGAACCAGGTAGTTAATATAAATTCCTGATCTTAAAAAAAAAAAAGTACTATCTACTACTCCAAGCAAAACGGTATTTAAAGGTCAAGCACTGTTAAGCTTAGGGTTGTACCATTTAATGAATAAAACAGTATTCACAAACAACTTAAAGGCTTGCCTCTCAGGTACCATAAAAGAACAAGCTTCTAACAGATTTTTTCCCTTCTCATTCTCTTCTGTTTCCATCCCTTTTCTGTTTTATAGACAAAACAGAAATATACAGTAGGGGTTTGAAATGTTTTATTTACTGATAGAGTTTTATGTGAGCTCCTATTAATTTTCAAAGGGGAGGAATTTAATATTGGGTTAAAAAATATACACATAAGAAAAAAATTCTCAATATCACTAATCAGCAGTGAAATACAAATCAAAACCACAATAAGGTATCATCTCATCCCAATCAGAATAGCTGTTAAAAAGTCGAAAAATAGGGCATGGTAGCACATGCCTGTAGTCCCAGCTACTCAGAAGGCTGAGGCAGGAGAATCACTTGAACGTGGGAGGTCGAGATTACAGTGAGCCGAGATCAAACCACTGCACTCCAGCCTGGGTGACACAGTGAGACTGTCTCAAAAAAATAAATAAATAAAAACAAATGAAAATAAAAAGTCAAAAAATAACAAATGCTAGCAAGGATGTGTATCTCTTATACATTGCTGATAGGAATGTAATTAGTATAGCCATTATGGAAAACAGTATGGTGTTTACTCAGAAAACTAAAATACAACCACCATATGATCCAGCAATCTCATTACTGGGTAAATATCCAAAGTAAAAGAAATAAATATGTTGGAGGTATCTGTGCTCCCATGTTTACTGCAACACTATTCACAATAGCCAAGATTTGGAAGCAATCTAAGTATCCATCAACAGATGAATGGATTAAGAACATGTGGTATATATACATGATGGAATCCTAGTCAACTACAAAAAGGAATGAAATCCTGTCATTTGCAACAACATGGATGAGCTTGGAGAACATTATGTTAAGTGAAATAAGCCAGGCGCAGAAAGACAAAAACCGCATGTTCTCATGCAGAAGTTAAAAAAGTTGATCTTAAGTAAGTATAAAGTAGACTAGTCATTACTAGAGTCTGGGAAGGGGGCAGTAGTCAAAAATGGGGTAACATACAAAATTACAGCTAAATAGGAAGAATAAATTGTCATGTTCTAGAACACCATACATTGATTAAAATTAACAACAATTTACTGTATATTTGCAAAGGGCTAGATGAGCAGATTTTGAATGTCCCTAACACAAACAACTAATAAATGTTTGAAGTAATGGATAAGCTAATTACCCTGATTTGATCATTACACATTGTACACATGTATTGAAACATCACACTGTATTTTCCATAAATATGTACATTATGTGTCAATTAAAAATAGTAAGAGTAAAAAATACACTACATGTACAGATATACTAATGCACAGGCATTATAAGTTTAACAAGTATGCCATTGAAGCTTTTCACTTAAATTTTAGTTGATTTTCACTTAATATGATTTTCACTTAAATTTCAGTTGATCCCCCCGCAAATTAAATGCTCTCAAATGAAAAAGTTCCTACATGAATAATATAATAAACTCTGACTTACTTAGAAGACATTCATTTATATGTCTTATTTTCAATTTTATGTTTTAGGTAGTATATATTTTCTTAGGTAATAACTATTCAAGTCTGAAGATTTACATCAGAATCACTTAGGGCCTTGCAACTCAATGTTGTCTGTGGACCAGAAGCGCTAATATCAGGAAAGCTTGTTAAAAATGCAGAATATTGGGCTCTACCCAGTCCTACAGAATCAGAATTTGCGCTTCAACAAGATCCCTATTTATAAAGATCTAGAACACTTATTAAACATGCAGTTTCCAATGAGGCACAGGCATCTGCATTTTAAGGATGAATACTGTGGATTCTCTAGCACACTACAGTTTGAAAAGCACTGTTTAAAAGAAAAGTGAAGTACTGAAAGAACATTCCTTTAAAACAGTTTTGGTATATTAAGAAATACTGCTATATATCCTTCCCAAGTTTGAAAAGAAAAAAAAAAAAATCTGACTTTACAAATCTCATAGCCACACCGCCTTCTGAAAATTAGTAACCTAAATGAGTACATTGAATAAAGGGCTGAGATGAACAATCAAAAACAAACGTGTTTACAACTTTCACAGGGCATTACATTAATTACTGAAAAAAAGTTAAACGTTGCTTTTCTTCTTTTTTTGCTTTGAGCAAAAATCAAGAAAACATTCTGTTTTTTTAAAAAGTTCAGTGGGGTACAGTGGCTCACTCCTGTAATCCCAGCACTTTGAAAGACTGAGATGGGAGGATCACGAGGTCAGGAGATCGAGGCCATCCTGGCCAACATGGTGAAACCCCGTCTCTACTAAAATACAAAAAATTGGCCAGGCGTGGTGGCACGCGCCTGTAGTCCCAGCTACTTGGGAGGCTGAGGCAGGAAAATCGCTTGAACCCGGGAGGCGGAGGTTGCAGTGAGCCGAGATCGCGCCACTGCACTCCAGCCTGGCGACAGCGCAAGACTCCATCTCAAAAAAAACAAGAGTTCCAACCACATGGGAAATATAGATTATAGTTCTTTTTACTAAAGTCTAAACAACCCCCAGCTGAATGCTTAACATTCTAGTTCGCACTACAGTCAATCAAGTTTGTTCTGATTCTCGCTGGTAGAAAAACCATATCCTCCAAAAGGAATACAGGTCTTAGGATCCTGGACACTTTCAACACATGTACACGTAAAAAATAGCTGTTCAGTAAGTATAAAGGGCTAAAAGGATACTAATCCCCGAAAATATATTATACACAATAATTTTTACTAATTTTAGGAGGTGCTGGTTTTAACTCAAGCAAACTTTTACTATTAGGTTGGTGGGTGCAAAAGTCATTGCGGCTTTTGGCTATTAAAATTATTTTTGCATCAACCTAATAAATGCAAAAGTTCAAGATTTTGTGAGAGACACAAAGAAGATCAGGACACTAACACTAGCCGCAGGAACCTATAACCTGAGGGGAAGTGGGGTTTGTCTGGGACATAGCACATGCAATTAGCAGAATGTGATCAGTGCTGAAAACGGTTTCTGGGTTTCCAGTTTCAGGTAACTGAATTTCAGATAATGGATATTTTACAGTAATTTCCAATTGATTTGGTGTAGAGTTGAAAAAGCCAAGAGAACTTATTAAAAAGTACTTTATAAGGAGGTACAGCCTACGGTAAACAATTCTCTGGGAAATTTCTTACATTTTAATTCACATACACACACTTAAAATTGGGCTGTTAGGTGTGTGTGGGTGCTCTCATCAAATGCAAAGCAATTCAAATGTGAACTGGATACAGGAGGGCCCAACAGGGTTAAGTTCACAGAGGGTGTTTCCTCTGACAAAAACAGGAACACACAGCTTCAGAGATCGCTGATCATGCGAGAAAAGAGGAAAAAGGAGTGGAGATCTGTTTCTATTTCTCCCTTGGTAACTTGGGGAAAAAAAAAAAAAAAAACCCAAAACACAACAGCAGTTTCTGGACTAATCCCGCCTTCAGCTTTACATTTCATAAGTACTATGACCTTTTAAAAGTCTAGGAACTAAAGACAAACAAAAACAGGCAAATGCATTTACCTATTTAGCAGTCCAAATCAGAAGCAGTTCCCTCAAGGGTAACCAGTAGTCCGTGAAGGACTATTCCTGGGAGAGTGCACCCACTCGCTCCCCACAGACCCTCAGCCGCTCAGCGCTCTCTTCACTGAGCTCCCCGGGCAGCGGCACACCCTCCCTTGGAAAACGAAAAGCGAGCATCTCTCCAAAAGGGCTACCGAAGCCCCCAGGGAGCTCCTTGGAGGTTTACTGGGATGCAGAGCAAGCCCTTTTCTGTCTTGGAGGAGGAGGAGGTGCAAGTGACACCGAGAAAGGCCAGCTGAGCTGCGAAAGGGTGCTGCAATGTCCCGGTCCCTCAGAGGATTAGGTCGGCACCCTAGGGCCGCAGGCTGCTCTCCTGAGGAGGCCTTGCCGCTCAACCCAAGCCACAGCCCTCTGACAGGCACCGGAGGTGGGGACCGCGTCACAGGTGTCACCCCAAGACGGTCCTTGCAAACCCGGGGGAGGGGGAGGGCAAGTCGGGGCAGAGGAAAGGCACCTAAAGGTGAGACGAGCGGCAGCGGCGCAGCGCAGCACCCACAGCGACGCGGTCTCACCTCTAGCGTGGAGACAGTGCTGGTGAACAGGTCATCTCCGTCTTCCAGCTCCTCAAAGTCGGTGGACTTCCCGTCCCCCAGCGGAGGAGGCTCCCTCTCGGCCGCCATCTTCGCTCGCCGGGACTACTGCTCGAGCTGGGCCTCGCGGACCCGTCACGTGAGCACGCACGGCTGGGCCCGCGCCGACCCACCAGCTGCTCCGCCCCCGGCCGGCCTCTCACAGCCCCGCCCAGCCGCGCTTGGCCCCGCCCCCGGCCTCTGGGCGGCGCCCAACGGGAGCCGCTCTCGCCCCGCCCTTTTGTCCCGCCTCCTCTCAGCGGGTCCGGGACGTGGCCTCCTTTTCGCTGCTGACTTGATGACGTGACTTATGTGGCAGAATCTTGGACTTTATTACCACATCACCTTCTTGGCGGGACTAGGCTAAATGCTTTCTGTTGGCACTACCAGTTTTTAAATCTTCTGTAGGAAGTGGAAGAGCCTGGGCACCAGTCTTTGGGCTTGCATTGCACGCAGACTGAGGGCGAGATTGAGTACGGGTGGGCAAGAGACACATACTGTCTCTTAGATCTCTCTAGAACTGTCCAATGGAACTTTCTGGCATGATGGAAATGTTCCCTATCTGTGCTGTCCGATACAGTAAGCTACTGGCCACCTGTGACCCCTGAACGCTTGAAATGTGGCTGGTGTGTGGAACTCAGTTGTAAAATTTTATTTAATTTTAATTAATTTAAATCTAATTAGCCACGTGTAGCCAGTGGTCACCTATTTAGTTACTACAGCTCTAGGTAACAAAAGGGCCCTGAATAATTTCTCCTCTGCAATTCACTCCAGTTTTATCTTGGGCCATATAATATTTTTCTCAATAAAATCAGTCAAAAAACTGATAGGAAAATCAATGGATGATTGGTAAGAGCACGTAGTCACATTCCCTGGCCTGCACTCCACCACCATATGGAATGTCCGGAGTCTGTCATGGGTCAGAAATTTTAACCTCTTATGAAAGCTCCCAGACTGACTTGAGGTGATTTTTATCCACATCCTTAATTTTTACATGTGCCTCTATTTATTGCTTACTGCTTTCTGACTTATGCTATGGTTATATATATTCCCAGCTTATCTTTTTTAGTGGACATCTGAAATAGGTGAAATATAGGTCCTGATGCTTGTTACAGAGACCCACGTTCAAAGTGGCTTGAAAAATGAACAAGTTTATTTGTCCCTCATGTAATACTAGGGCTGGTGTGAAGGTTCTATGAGATCATTCAGGGATATGGGCCCCTTCTGTTGTTCTGCTCTCCCTAGGATGTAGTCTCTTACTCATGGTTCAAGTCAGCTCACCACCACAGTTACACCACATTCCAGCCAGCAGAAAGAGTGAAAGGAAAACAGTATTACCTTCCTTTTAAGGGCACAGTTCAGAAGTTGCACACACTGCTTCATTCCACATTCCTTTGACCAGCTCATTAGCTACATGGCTATCTCTAGCTACAGGAGACATTAGGAAATACAGTTGTTATTTCTCCCCCTAAAAATTAGGGATTCACTTACCCTAGAAGAAACTAGAAGAAACCTGACCACTTACCCTAGAAGAAACCTGACCAACATGGAGAACTAGTGATCATTCATGGTTTTCATGGTAGCATACCTGAGTTTTCTTCTCAGCTGTGCATTTTCTGCACCTCAGAAAGGGAGTACGTCACCTAGGCTTAAACCAAACACAGAATTGACTCCCTTAATCTCAGTGATTTGTAGGGGATCAGAATCAGGTGCATTTTCCCTAAACTCTCCACATCTTTGATTGTCTTTATTTTCCTAGTCAGTCTAAATTCTATGTTCCAGAACTGCAAGAATTCTCTTACTATTTTTGTCAGCTCATCTTCCTTGGTTCCTTGCTTTTCTGTTTCATCTTCTCTGAAATCCCAAATTCAGCCATCAATTTCTCTAATCTTATATCCAGATTGCTAAAGTATTTGAATAATAAACCCCAGCCTCAGATTGAAGATTGTGTAAGTCCATCATTTCCAATCCCAACTACACTGCAATACCATTAGTTGTTTCCTTTCCGATTCCTTCAACTATTCTTCCCAGCATAGGTGCTAAAAAGTCATTTTTTCCTCAAGTATCCCACCATCTTTTTCTCTTCATTTTCATCAAATGATTTAGCCTCTTCAATGACAAAATAAAATCCACTGAGTGAATCTTTTCACCTTCAAGTATGGTTGAAATTCTCTTTGTGCTCCCATCAGTTGCTGTGTACATTTTAACACCAACCATATTGTGCAGTGGCCATGGGAACACTGTTCTATCCCCCCAATGGACTGAAGGATCATTGATGTCAAAAACCATTTATTATTTGATGATGGATCCTGAGTAGCCAGCTCTGCATTAGTTATTTATTGCTGTAAAACAAATTACATAAACACACAGCAGCCTGTAACCATAGATATTTGTTTTCTCATGGTTTCTGTGGATCAACAATCCTCAGCCAGGCGCGGTGACTCACGCCTGTAATCCCAGCACTTTGGGAGGCTGAGGTAGGTGGATCACCCGAGATCGAGAGTTCGAGACCAACCTGACCAACATGGAGAAACCCTGTCTCTACTAAAAATACAAAAATTGGCTGGATGTGGTGGCGAGTGCCTGTAATCCCAGCTACTCAGGAGGCTGAGTAGCAGGAGAATCGCTTGAACCAGGGAGATGGAGGTTGCAGTGAGCCAAGACAGTGCCATTGCACTTAAGCCTGGGCAACAAGAGCAAGACTCCATCTCAAAAAAAAAAAAAAAAAAATCCTCAACTCACCACCACAATTACACTGCATTCTAGCCAGCAGAAAAGGAGTCAAAGGGAAACAATGATGTTACCTTCCTTTTAAGGGCACATTCCAGAAGTTGCACACACCACTTTCATCCGCATCCCTTTGACCAACTCATTAGTTATACAACTTAACTGGGTGCCCCTGACTCAGGGTCTCTCAGAAGGTTATGGACTCGGGAGGCAGTCATCTCAAGACTGAAGTGGAGAGGACCTGCTTTCAAGTTCACTAGCATAGCTGGCAGCAGGCATCAAGTTATTTCTGGTTATTGGCCTGAAACCTGAGTTCCCTGCCATACAAGCCTCTTCGTAAGGCTTCCCACACAACATGTCAGCTTGCTCCTCCCAAAGTAAGGACCTCTGATAAAGACAGAAGGAAAAAGCTCTAAGAGAGGGTAAAAGAGAGTGAATAAGAAAGAAGCCAGAGTGTTTTTATAACCCAATCTCATAAGTAATATCTCATCACTTTTGCTGTATTCTGTTCATTGGAAGCCTACACTCAAAGGGAGGAGTAAAACAAGGGTGTGAATAACAGGAGGCAGCGTTCTGGGGGGACATTATAAAAGTTTCCACAAGGCCCCATAGGGCTTAGCATTCATTAATATAGACACTCTATCAATACCCTCAACAAAAGAATGAATGAATAAAGCTCAGAAGAGTGAGCTAAGTGGAAGATACAGATTTGGTAGCTGGAGCCACTGGTACATGAGAAGGCCTAGGTGGTCTGGGAAGCACAACTCTATAAGGATGATGTGCAGTTTTAGACCTATAATCTCAGGTATTTGAGAGGCTGAGGCAGGAGGATCCCTTGAATCCAGGAGTTTGAGACCAGGCTGGGTAACATAGAGAGATCCTGCAAAAAAAAAAAAAAAAGAAAAAGAATAAGAAAGAAAGAGAAGAAAGGCGGGCCATAAATGAACCTGAAGAGTAGCAGTCAGAGAGACAGGAAGCGATCCAAGCGAGAGGGCTATAAAGAAAGTAAAAGGACAAAGACGAGAGCATCTGTAGTGTCACGTGCCCTGGTAAAACTGAAAAGGTGAATGGTTAATGGATTAAAAAAAAATGGGTGTAGCAAGTTGTGATGGTTAATTTTATATGTCAGCTTGGCTGTGCTATGGTACCCAGATATTTGGTCAAACATTATAGTGTTTGTTCTGTTATGATTTTTATTTTTTTTATTTTTTGTTTGTTTTTTTCCTTCTTTTTTTTGTTTTTTAAATTTTTGTTCGTTTGTGAAGATGTTTTTTGGATAAGATTAACATTGAAATTGGAAAACTTTGAGTAAAACAGATTACCTTCTATCATGGGGGTGGGCCTCATCTAATTAATTGAAGGCCACAATAGAACAAAGACTGGCCTCTGAGCAAGAAATAATTCTACCAGCAGATTGCCTGTGCACTCCAATTGTAAGTTTTCCCTGAGTCTCTAGCCTGCTAACCTATATTATCAGATTCTAAATTCACCGAGCCTACACAATTGCATAAACCAATTGCTTAAAATAAATCTCTCTATATAAATACTCACATACATCCTGTTGGTGCTGTTTCTCTGGAGAACCCTAACTAATGCATTAGTATAAATTATTATTCTTTCAAGGAATATAAATGAAAAGAATCCGACAGAATAGGTCAATAGCTTGTGGGAGGCACAGGTTTATTTTTATATGTTTGTTTTATTTTAATGGGAAAGATTTGGACATGCTTATATTAATGTAAAAGGGAAAGAGGTCAAAAGGGAGCAAGAGGTTGAAAATACCATGTAGACAGAGATGATCAAAAGGATGAGATCTGAAATGCAAAAATGGGATAAAAGGCAAGTAGATGAATTTGCCTTACAAAGGAAAAAGGATTCTTCCACTGAGCGTGGAGAGATGGAGGTAAGAGTTTGTACTAGTCAGCCATTGTTATGTAACAAACCATCCGTATTGTTTCTCATGAGTCTGCAGATTAAGCTGGCAGTTCTACTGGACCAGATTTGGCAAGTCTTACTTTCAGGCTTGTTCATATTCTGTGGTCAACTGATAGATTGGTTGGGACTGGCTGGGCTAGGAAGGTCTTGGCTAGGACAATTCACCTCTGCTCCATGTGCTCTCATCCTCCAGCAGGTTAGCCTGGGCTTCTGTTCAAGCTCCTGGCAGAGCTCCAAACAGAAAGCAGAAATATGCAAGTACTTCTTCAAGCCTCCACAAAAGGAAATTATATGACCAAGCACAGGATCAGAATGGGAAGGGACTACAAAATTGTAGGGCAAAGGGTGTGGAAAAGAGAGGTCATTAATTGGGGCAATTAATGCAATCACTTTACCTCAGTGGATGTATTTATGGACTTGTTTGTAAATATAGGGGCAAGAAATGGAAAAAGCCAATACCCAAAAGCAATCTTTTGGGGGGTGGGGTAGGTTAATTA